AAAGTTGGTTTCAGAAATATCAAAAACTTGGTTTAACCATTGAGAGAACTTTGTGTTCTTATTGAGATTTCTTTATCCAAGTCTTGGCAAGGAGATTTGGTGGTGAATCGATTCAAGTTGGTCGAGAATTCCTTTATGCTTGAAGTGTTTATTCTTGTCTTAACCTAAAATTGCAAGTAAGTGTGACATTGCCTCCATTTGTGTTTGGCCGAATTTAAGCTTGAGTTTAGGGCATATTTTTGTGTTGTTTGTTGTTGCAAATTGGTTGGATTTGGATCACTAGATCAATCGGAGGGCTTAAGGGAGATGGTGGATTTTAGAGAGAGAATTTTTGTCTCTACGGTTGGCGGCTAGCGTTTTTGGGAGAGTTAATTTTGCTCTTTAATTTGCAAAATTAACTTTTTGATAATTGCTTTATTAAATCAAAACCCAATGACCCTTTTTATAGGCAATCTCAAATAAGAATCCAATAAGGATTGTAAATCCTTAATTCCTATTTGGATTGGATTATAATCCTTTTAATTCCCATTTGAATTGGATTGCAATCCTTGATATAAGGGATTAGAATATCTCTTAAAGATATTCTCCTTAAATATGAATCCTAATTAAATAAATATTCCTATATAAATACATATTCTAATTAAATAAATATTACTATTTATTTAATCCATATATTCTTATATATATTTATCATATTTAATACATTGGCTTTAATATATAGTCAATTAAATTAAATATATATTCTCCATATTAATTAAAATTAATATGATTCCAATTTTGCTAAAAATTCTCCCAATAAGTTGGATAATGGTGTCAACCCCTTAGCAAAATTACCAGAGTGCCCTTTTTGCCCAAAATGACAAAAATACCCCTTGACTCTTAAATTATCGAAATACCCTTTTCGGCCCAAGGACAAGATTGTTCTTCCATTTCCACTTCTCACTTAACTGCCTTCTATGTGTATGACCCAAAGGCTCTTCACTTTGCCAGCAGTGTCTTGATAACTAGTTAAGCATCAAGTAATTAGTGTTTTCGTACACCAATTAAGATTGGCCTCTAGGAAGGGATCATGGTTCCCTGGTAAGTAAAGAATAAGTTATTTAGGCTTACCTTGTCTTCGATATGGTTACTGTGCAATTCGATCTATTTCATAATCTTTTATCTCATTAAGGTTTGAGGTACAAAAATAGTGTCTACCTCAAAAGCTACCTTAACATGTTCTATATTTGGTTTTGAATCTGAAGACTATTAGATTCAAGCACCAACTCAATTTCATCATGGCCACAGATTTGAGGTCTTAGTTCTCTAACCAAATATCTTGTTAAGATCAGATCTCCTGTAACTAGGAGTGATGAATCCTTTATTGATCCACCATAGCCATAGTGTACTTCTTGATGTAACCAATCACTACCGTTATGATAATCCTTAAAAGAGATGACATTAGGCTAGTGTCAAATTACATTAATATTTACACATGGTGCTCTGGTGAACTCAAGTCGAAGGACCACATGCACCCGATCCCTAAGAGGATATATTCCACAGACACTGGGTTTACCATCTCGTGTGGAATCCTTTGATGGGTTAGTCTAATGTACCTGCACAAGCAAGCACCTAGGCGCCATGCACCAAAAGTAATGCATTTTAAGGCGCATACCCCTTGATTGAGGGCCAGTCATGCATGAAGGCACGACTAAGGACACTTGAGATTGCCTGGTGGCGTGAAGCAACGTGTAGCTAGGCATAGCCGCGCGCGGCAATGCGCAACAATTTTAAACCTTTTGCACCTTTTGCATGTCAATTACAAAACAGACATATTACTGGTAATTATCGCATAAAAACCCAAACGAGTCATATTGACTCGAAAGCCTAGTCGAGCTAAGCTGAGGTAAACTCAAACTCAGCTTGGCACCTATTACGAGTGCTACTTGAGTCGAGCTTGAGTATTTAACAAGTCAAGCTTAGCCGACTTGTAAGCAGCTTGGCTCAACTAATAGTCGTAGTCGAGCTAGGCCAAGTTTGACCAAGTTTAAGGTTTTTACATCCCTACCATAGAGGTTGGATCTAGTGCCTAGAGGCTAGATTTGGCTTACGACGATAGTGAGGTTGAATCTGATAAAGGTCGGATTTAACCCTCTTTAGGCCAGTAGAGGCCATCTCCAATCTCTATGCAATTGTTAGAAACTTGATCTAGCCATGGGGTAGCCCGATGAGAAGGGAGGAAGAAGAGGGGGGAGAGAGTGAAAAGAAAGAAGGGAGGAAAAAGGAAAGGAAAAAAAAAAGGCAGAACGCAGAGAAAAACCAAAGTTTTCTTATGAATGTTGAAAAGTCATAAATGTCCTTCTTTTAAAATGAAAGTCATAAATAAGTTAAATGTTTTGCACTTAAATAATATTTTTATAAAGAAGATTCAATTAATATAATCATTTTGATTAAGCATTTTTAAGTTATCTTATAAAAGTAGTTGTGTTGCCGATTAACGTAAGAAAATTTTAATCAATAAGCAAACAGTGATTATGAGCATCTTGATTAAACATTATTAAAATTATCTCATAAAATTTGTGTTGCATAGGATAAACATAAAAACAAAGAGGAGAAGATGCAAAATTTAATCAATAAACAACAAACAAAAGTTAATAAATACATAATGATCCATCCACTATCATTGAATAAGAGAAATTAGTTGATAGCATGTCAAGACCATTGATAGAAAAGTTCAAGATTCTACCTCATGTCTTATCGATTCTCTCGCAGAGTATGATGCCTTGAAAAATTAGAATAAAAAAGTCTTATAGCTGTAAAAATTTTCTCTCTTCTGATTGATTCCATCTATTATTTAAAGTATAGTCCCTAATGAACTTCAAATTTGACTTTGTTGCCTCATGGCGCACCTCTAATAGTAGTCTCTAATAAACAACATAAAAACTGATCTTATAAATGAATAAATTTTACTAGAAATGGATATGGACCTAATGTTGTTTTCTACAATACTTTAATCAATTGGTATTACAAGAATAAAGAAGTCAACGAGGTTCTTAGTCTTTATTGAGAGATGATTTTAGAAGGAATTAGGCCTAATGTGATTATACATAACATTTTGTTAACTAGCCTTTTTCTTAAAGCTAATGTAAAAGATGCACGGAACTTAGTTGGTGAGATGTAACTTTATGGTGTTTTACTTGATTCTTGGACACATAGCATTTTCATTGATAAACTTTGCAAGAATGGACGTATTTCGGAAGCAGTGCAAATGTTTCATACTTTAGTAAATAATAAGTTTGCAGTTGACCTCGATAGCTTGAATTCTCTCTTTGATGGATTATGTAAAATAGGGATATCCGAAACAGCTTGATAGCTATTTCGAAAATTTTCTCTCATTGAAAACCTAGTGCCAAACATTGTTTTCAGAATCTTGTCACTGTTTTTAGAATTTAGTTTTGATGGAAACCATTGTTTCCAAATTTTACAATCATATATGTTAATGTGTAGTGTACGTTATGGATAAGCTAATGTGTGGAATATTAGAATAGTATAATAAAGAGTTAAGGACATCAAGTCAACTCCTCTAAGGTTTATTATAATTACAGAAATTCACTTTAAGATTTTTAAAATAATAAAATTTCTTTTATTATTAATAAACTATTAGTTCGCTAGAACATATATCTATAAATTAATAAATATTTATTAAATTGCTCTCATTCTATTATTTTAACCCATATAATTTAACAGTAGAGATTTTTATTATTTCATAAATTTAATTATGTTTATTATATTAAATCTCAAGGTTATCAATATAACTCTATTATATAATTTAGAATTAGTAATCATATTACACTATACATAATATTATTTTAGTAGTATAGATATTTCAACAATATAATTAGTGTGATAATCTTGCTAAAATGATAACAAAACATTATTCATATAACTTCTAAAAAGTAAAAAACAATATCCTTTGAATTTTTACTATATCACATTCGAGTACATGAAATATCAATTTTGGTATATTTAAAAGTTCTAAGAACAAATATAATTTTTTTTTTTTTTAATATCATTGTAAATTAAATCCAAACTTCAATAGAATATTTATTTAAATCTTATAATATATAAACAAAAAAGGTAAAAAAATTCCAATTGATGGGTTGCATTTTGTTTGATCGACTGGATAATTTTGGATCCAGTAGAAAACCAGCTCAAAAGTTAAACCGAAAGGTACCTAAAGGCTGAAGGTGGATTTACATTTTTAACCTTCAGGGTGCTAAGTGAACAGTTTTCCAAATCATGAAGGTTGTTTATGAACATTTTGCAATAAACTTCGGAAAAACGACCCTCAAAAAACACTCTTCATACATGGCGTTGAGATCCCTATTTCGTTCGTCTTCAATCTCTCAAAACCCATCTTTAAAAGTTGATGTTTTATTTTTGTTAGCTCACTTACACAACCTCACGTCTTCAAGCTCAAAAAATGAAGCTTTGTATTCTTTGGAAAAACCCCTAGAACGATCCTCACTTGCTAAATTCCTCAAAGAAGATTGTCGATCAGGTAGCTTTACTCTGAATGAAGCATTGTATTTTTTTTATTACATGATTAATATGAAACCCATTTCTCCAATTTCATCATTCACTACTTTGTTTAGTGCACTAGCCAAGAAGAAGCATTATCATGAAGTGATTTCGCTTTATAAGCTGTTGAATTCAACTGGGTTGTCTCCGGATTTTATATCTTTGAATATTTTGATGAATTGCTTCTATAATATTGAAAGGGTTTTTGATGGTTATGGGGTTTTTAGGGCGTTTGAAGTTGGGATTTTAGCCTAAATACCGTGACATTTACTTGTTTGATTAAAGGTCTGTGTGTAGAGAGAAAGATTATGGAATCAACGGAATTGTTTAAGAAAATAATTGCTATTGGTTGTAGGCCTAATGTGATCACTTGCAACACTTTGATAGGTGGATTGTGTAAAACAGAGAAAATAAGTGTTGCCATTAAGTTTCATGAAGAGATGGCTAATGGGAATAAAGGATTTGGTGTTATTTGTAGGCCAGATGTTGTTACTTATAATACTATAATTGGTGGTCTTTGTAAGGCTGGATTGGTTGAGAAGGCTAGACAATTATTGTTGGAACATATGATTCAGAGAGGTGTGGTTCCTAAAATTTATACTTTCACCATTTTGATAAACGGTTATTGCTTGGCAGATAGAATTGGTGATGCAAGGGAGTTGTTTGATTTTATAACTAGAAAGGGGTATAGGCCTAATGTTGTTTGTTACACTACTTTAATCAATTGGTATTGCAAGAATAAAGAAGTCAATGAAGCTCTTAGTCTTTATTGAGAGATGATTTCAGAAGGAATTAGGCCTAATGTGATTACATATAACACCTTGTTAACTGGCTTTTTTCTTATAGCTAAGGTGAAAGATGCACGGAATTTAGTTGGTGAGATGCGACTTAACGATGCTTTTCCTAATTCTTGGACATATAACATTTTCATTAATGGACTTTGCAAGAACGGATGCGTTTTGGAAGCGTTAGAAATGTTTAATGCTCTAGTAAATAATAAGATTGCAATTAGCATTGAAGGTTTGAGTTCCCTCATTGATGGATTATGTAAAAGAGGGAGATTCAAAACTGCTTGGGACCTATTTCAGAAATTTTCTCTTCATGGAAACCTAGTGCCAGATGTTGTAACATATAGCATTTTGATCAATAGGCTGTGTAAAAATGGACAACTAGAAATGGCAAATGAGTTGTTATATATGAAGGAAAAAGGTTGTGCTCCAAATGTAGTTACATTTATTACGCTTATGTTTGGTTTCCTCAAGAATAATGAGATACCAAAAGTTGTTGAACTCCTTCATAAGATATAAGATGGCGGAGAAAAAATGTGAAGCCGACTGAATGTACAATGTCCTTAGTCATGCAGTTACTAATGAAGGCCGAAAATTATCGCGAATGTTTGAATGAGCTCCCTCAATTTCCGGTCCAAAAGCAAAATTAGAGTTTATGTGATAAAACATTAGTGAGTATTAGACTTTTTACGAAGTAGAGTCCTGCAAAAGTTCATCCAACTGCCCAAATGCTTTACTTTGGTTATGGTAAGAAGAAGGTTCAGCAAACACTTTCATCTGTTCGAATTTGATAGGGATCGTGATGGGGAAGATTGGGAATGATGGCTTCCCTAATCAGACATACAATACGTGATCTGTCTCTGTTGTAAGTGCATATAGTGGAGGTGGTAGCATTGCAGGCTGTGTCAGGATGTGCACATGAAGTGGGTCTTTAGGGTTTGAGGATTACTTTTGGTGCACAGTTCAGTAAGCAAAAGTTGTATATGAGAAATTGTGGAATGTTTCCTACTTCAACCACGACAATAATGGTAGCCGCTCAAGTTCATCTATTCAAGCTGATCAGTTTACTGGACAATAGTTGTATATGAGAAATTGTGGAATGCTTCTTACTTCAACTACGACAATAATGGTAGCCGCTTAAGTTCATTTATTCAAGCTGATCAGTTTACTGGACGATGGTATGTTGCAACTGATCAACTTCGTTCATTGATATTCTCAAATATCTAGGCCTGATAAATCTTGATTTATTTATAGTGTTTCACATGTTTCTATTTCTCAATATATATTCTTTTTTAGTTCAAATCTGATAAGACTAGAACTTACCAGGTGTCTCTAATGTAGTTATGCATGAGCATGTGCTCTTTCAGCGATAGTTGATGAAGACTAAGCAAAAAGAGCATTCACTCATATTTAAAAAGCGATGACCATGCGAGGTCGCACTCACAAAAGCGCTACCTCGACCTCTTTTCAAATAGGTCGAAATCACTAGAATTTCCTCGAAAGCGTCTAGTCACGGCATGAATTATAGTTTCCAAGGTTCGATCCTCAAACCTTAAAAACTAGGGGACTTTTGTTATGCCTAAAGAATGCAGGGCTGACGTAAGGCCTAATCAGCATGCAAAAGTCAGAACTTGGGTACACCCGCAGCCAAGTCATGAGAGGAAAGGAGCAGCGTGCTTCTGTCAGTGCAGTGGGTGCGCGCCAGACCAGCCAGGAGCTGGAAAGCTTCCACATGTCCAATTCCTACACCAAATCGCATAAATCACTCTGGAAGGTAGGCAATGGGACATAAAGGAAAATTTGTATGGATAATCCCACCAACTCACAGATTTAGTAATCATAATCTTAATCCATCCCACTATAAATTGAGGGTTCCTCTCCCAATTTGGAGATTAGCTAATCTTTTCAAAAAAACAGCATATACTCTCACTTTCTCTTGTAATCATTTGTAAAAGTCAACTCGCGTCGCGTCGCTATCATTAATTCAACATTAGTGGACGGAGGACTTGCTTCCTTAAGCATCCGAACCACTTTAAACACTGTCTAGTAATTTCTTTTACTCTAATTCTTTGATTCACGTGTGTCTTCTGGGCCAGCTCAGCATTTCACACATGCGTTTGGTTGGTGTCAAAATCACACATCAACACACATAAATGTCTTAAGATAATTGGTTGACAAAGATCTATCTACATCAGGAAAAATATAAATGTGGAGAAAGAGAGGAAAAGAGAAGAAGATAAATAGCATTCGGAGTGTAGGACTGTGACTACTATGTAGTTCCTCTCCACTCTCTATTTATAATATCATATAAAATCTATATCTAAGTACAATATACTCCTCAATTTTACCAAGAAGATAACATGTTTAAAATCAACAATACTCCATACTAAACTTCCATGTTTGGGTGGAACTCATTCAAATGCATATATGATTGCATGTAAGTGCATGCACCCATGCATGTGTTTCATGTACAAACGAGTAACTGTTCTTGTATATTTTTATCCATATTTGCTTGCAATATGTGCATCTTTATGTTCATAAGCACATACATTGTAATCAATTCACATTCATATACAAGTATAAATTGAATGAGAAAAAGAGCAGCAAGGCAACTTACAAAAACCATGAGGCTAAGCCTTTAGGTATTAAACTATAAATTTCACAAATTTTCACTTGAAACTATGCATGTAAAAATCATAAGCAAAGGAGAGAAAAAGAATAGGCTTGATTATATCAGATTTTCAAATGGTTAAAACAAAAACTAATCACCTATAATTAGCAATAGTCAGGGTGACTATTTTCTCTCTATTTTCCAATGGTTTCTTCATGGATAATTATGATTTGTGGCACTTTTAATCCATCCAAAAATATGAAGTCATTGGGATTTTGAGAATATCAGCATTTGATGAATTACCGTAAGTAGATATAATCTTCTTGGCTGAAACACATTTCCTCTATAAATTGGTAGAATGTTCACATAATTGGAGAGTATTCATATTTCTTGGGATTTCGAAACCCAAAGCTCCTAGCAAAGTTAAGATGCTAACTTGGACTACTGTGCTAAAAAACAACACTTCTGATTTGATTTAAAAGAGAAGACCTTATATTTCTTTATCTTCAAACTAATTCATCTTGCGCAAAAAAAGAGTATAAGAGTGTAGACCACTTATTCTTGCACTGCCCCTCTGCCAGATTTTATGGAACAACTTGCTTAAGGAGTTTGATCTAATTTGGGAAATACCTTCTTCTTCTTCCTATTTTTCGGTTTTGTACGAGAGGCATGTTGCTTTGGGAGGCTGTAGAAAAGTTGTTGTCTTATGGAATTGTGCAGTTATGGCAATTTCATGGGTTAATGGTTAGAATGAAATAGGAGAATATTTAAGATACAAGGGGGGAAAAGATTTTATCTGTGTGATAAAGTACAATCTTGGGCTTCTCTTTGGGGGTCTATTCCTTCAGAGTTCCAAGATGTTTCATTTTACTTTATTCAACATAATTAGGAAGCTTCAACTCCTAGCTCGGGAAGATTTTTGTGCAAATTTGATTAGGGATTTTGATTTTCAGCATTGATGATTTTGGAATAGGAGATGCATTTTTCATTTTTTTATGGTTTATCAACGTTTGGATTCTAGGGACAGCTTGTCCTTTTTTGTGTGGACAACTGTCCATTCTTGTATACTTTTTATTTTAATAGGGTATCCTTGTTTCCTAGGGAAAGGGAAAAAAAACAATTGGAGTCTTCATTAACATAATTCAAATTTGGTTCCATATAACTTTCTCTTTCTCTTGCTAACTCTATTAACCATAGATCAAGATTTTGATCTTCTTCACTCTCATTCAGTCTAGACTTGCTCTCTCTCATTGATTCTCACTCCAACCTAATTCTGTTTCAATATTCCTTAATTTAAGTAACTCTCTTGGCTACCATCAACATAGCAAATAAGTCCATAAATTTGACCAGAAAAATATTTATAATTCAAACTAGACAATATGAAAACTAAAAGATGGTGAAAGAAAAGGTACCTGCTGTTTGTATTCACCTTTCTTGTTCATAGTAAGATAGATCTCAAACAGGGGAACACCAACTGCAGCTGTAGCAAGCTGCCTGAAAGAAAAAGATCAGTGAAAAAAAGCTTCAAAACTTCAAAACAAGCACAAGTCCAAGTTCAAGTTTGAGTTCCTTTTTGAAAAAGAAGACATCATCACCAATATTTTAGTGCCAAACAAGTAGGGTTTCATCTTCTGTGCATGGTTTTGGTCGTCTTTATAAATCAATGAGAGCTTTACTGGGAACTCTTACATAAGCAATGGAATGATTACGGGGGACTATAACTCCTAGCTACATATTTTCCATGCTCTGCAGTAACATGTATTATCAGACCATAAGGATCATTCTTATCTTCAGAAATACCAGTCCACCATCCCATCTGGAAGCCACTACCAGAAAAGAAATTATGTAACTCATAGTCATCATGTAATACTCAGCAACATATTTCAAATCCATAGGCAGAAAACCTCCAAAGAGATGTACTAATCACTTTTTTTCATAAGAAACAAGAAGTTTGTGTTAATCTAATAAAGAGGTAAGTAGATTGAGTTGTGGACAAAGTGTCCACAAAGAATAAAAAACCAGGGGCAAGGAGACATTTATATATCTTCTTAGTAATGATCCCTCCCTTAGACTAGAAGTATATAGACTACAAAAAATTAGCCCAAAAGCCTATTCCCAACAGAGATGAATCAAGGAAAAGGAAAAACCCTGAAACTCTTTAGTAATATTTTTATAAAGGAGATTAAATTAATAGTAATATTTTTATAAAGGAGATTAAATTAATAGTAATCATTTTGATTAAGCAATATTGAAGTTATAAAAGTAGTGTTCTCGATTGACGTAAGAAAATTTTAATCAATAAACAAACACTGATTATAAATGTTTAACACTAAAATTCATGGATTCCCTTGAACTTGGCTTCTATAAGCATTGTGGTTAAACATTATTAAAATTATCTCATAAAATTTGTGGTTCATGGGATTAACATCAAAACAAAGAGGAGAAGATGGAAAATTTAATCAATAAACAACAAACGAATGTTAAATAAATACATAATGATCCATCCACTACCATTGAATAAGAGAAATTAATAATAATATACTTCAGTCAAGCGATAGATTATACACCATTAAGTAGGCTTTTCACTATAACCTACAGATAGTTCTATCCATGAGACTGGGTATGTATATATGAAGCATACACATGATGCGAAATCAGAAATGACTAGATACATTATGCTTGCATCAATGACACCATTACTATGGCAGTAGTGCTAGAAAATGTACTTAGCTTCTATTCTTCATTTTCTTCAAAGAAATGAGAAGCATATGGTGTCTCGGTCCCAAAATTGACGATCATATACTCAAGTTGACCGAGTATATGAACAGACTTTAGATTTTTGGATGTAGACTTAATGAAGGTTTAACAATAAACCTAATATTACAGTCTTTGCCAGATTCTTACTCTAAATTTGTCCATAACTTTATTAAGGATAATAAACTTCTAGATATGTTGAAGGCTACTGAGTTAAGCATGAAAATGTCAGAAATGTTGACGTTGGCTGAAGCCAGCTCAAGTGAGAAGGCAATGGCTCAAAAGTCATTGGAAAGAACTGTTCCAAAAAGGAAAGGCATTTGTCCTCACTGTGGGAATCCCAGCCACTAGAGGAAGCATTGCAAGGCCTTCATAGCAAAAAAAGAAGAAGAATGTTACTTCTTCGTCAGGTATGTTTTTGAGATT